TAGTTGGCACAATATGCATTGTAGCAAAACAATACATCGGATGAAATCTCTAGTTGATAGGACTCTAAAAGTCAAAAAAGGGCACAACAAATGGTAGGATATTATGCTTTAAACTTGGTAATTTCAACTTCATTTATGAAAGAATGCATCTTAAAAAGATTTCACATTAAAAAAAAAGAAGGAACAATGAAATGGGCAACAAATGATTACCGGTACATCTAAATGTAGTAATGTATCAGAGAAACCAACCAGCACAAGGTTACAGGTAGCAATCAAAGAAACAAGATTGTCAGTCTTTTGACATCTCCTTCATATGTTTCAAATGATTAGCTCATGATTGTTTATCAAAAAATGTAGTTTACAACCAATACTTTTCATCTCTGATTTGAACAAAACAAAAGATCTTCCATTGACCTCATAACCTAGATCACTTTCAAAGTGAAAAGTAACACCGATTCCTCTTTGACTACCACTTTATGATTTTGATTAGTTTCACCTTTAACTGTCATTATTGTTGATCTGCTGACCTCTTTATTATACTTCATAAACAGATGTTTCAAGCTATTGATCGATATCTAGATATATATGCTTCAATTGAGCAAAAAAAATGGTAATATCCTTTAATGGAATATGTTTTGTGAACTGAAAAGTATCAATAAAACGTCATTAAACCAAATGTATGTGTACTCTTAACATAATGACAAGGTGATGATTCTTAAAATAATCACAAGGATTAACCACAATTTTCAAAATCTACTTGACTATGAATCAACATTAAATGAATATCATATAAAAGCTTCAAACACTTAGTACTTTAATGTCTTATAGTCAACACTAGAATAAAAAATTAAAACAATTCTTAACCTGCGCTACTTTAAAGCTGCTATATACAACACCCACCTCTCTGCTTGGTATCACACAATATCAAATCTAAGTACAACCAATGAACTTTTAAACTTTCTTTTTGGCAATAAAAACTGAATATAGAAACATGCATCTTTTGCTAAAACAAAAGCTTTAAAGATTAAATGATTGTTTTCTATTTACAAAAAAAAAATATCAAGAAAGGCTCACATCACCTTGTATTCACATGAGATCATCTTTTTCGTACAAATTCAAACACTTTAGAAAAAACAGGCGAAAAAATATGTTTTTGTTAACTACTGACTCTTCCTTTTTTAAAGATTTATATAATAAGAAAATAAAGAATGAAGAATTACTTTCCAACAAATCTCGAGTAATCATCCTATACTTTAAGAGTTTAAGCAGCATTTTCACTGGAGCTACATGTACCTTAACATAAAGGTTATGAAATTTCCTAAGATTGTGGAAACAACACAAAAAGCATACGAGGGGAATGACATGATCAAACTTCTTGATACAAAGAATTTGTGGTTAATTCTTCAGGGATTTTTAAGCATGTATTCCGAAGTGATAAATAAAAACACGACTTTTGGCTAATTCACGATGGCCGCCCGTAATGTTTACCAAAATTTCAACCGGTTAGTAGATTTTCAGCTTTTGTTCAAAATTGGGTTTAACAAAGGAAGTTAGTCCGAGGTTTTCTTTTGCCTAACAAGATTTTAGACCAGATGTCGGGTTTAACTGAATTAGGAGCATACATACCAGTGTATATCACAAACTCCTTCAGGTTAACAGTTGATCCACAATGCAACTAATGTAAAAGAATCAACAGGCTAATCACACTGTGGCAAGAGATCAGAAACCTTTATAACAGTTTTCAATGTCTGCTCGCAAAGTCGGCTCCTACAAAGGAATGTCTCAAATGTCTGTCCTTGCTTCTTTCTGTATTTAGCGGATTTTTTAGGCATTATTGCTGTATTCTACCTCTGAAAAATTGGGTAATGAGCAAATTGAACGGCCGCCGGTGCTCGACCCCGCCAAAGTGTTGGCAGAGAGATCCTGCGTGTATACAAAACTCGGATCGAGCTAGCTAGCTAGCCCGAGCAGTCACACGGTCACATGGTCTATCAAAATCTTGGTGTTATATTTGACAGGAGCATGTGCATGGATGTCAATACAAAGAAGATCTGTCAATCAGTGTACTATAACATCCATAATGTTAATAGCATTCGAAAAGTCCTTGACCATAAGTCTGCTGCTATGCTTATACATGCATTTGTTTTTATCTCGATTAGATTTGGCAATGCTCTTCTTTTCAATATTTCTCCATGCAATCTTGACAAACTTCAACATGCTCTGAATGCAGCTGCAAGGGTTTTATCAGGGACATCTAAATATGATCACATTTCTCCTGCTCTCAAAAAGCTGCACTGGTTGCCAATCCGCAAGCACATAGAATTCAAAATCCTTTTCCTCACATGGAAGACTGTAAATGGATTGGCATCAAACTATTTACAAAACCTTGTTATGCCTTTAATAAACCAGCTTGTAGTCTAAGATCATCACACCAGCATCTTCTAAAGATCCCCAAGACGCGAGTAGCCTGTGGGAAAAGGGCCTTTTCAGCTGCAGTACCTTCTCTTTGGAATAATTTACCACTTAATTTGATAATCATAACTTCCTTAGAGACCTTTAAATCCAAGCTGAAATCTTATATTTTCTAACAATACCTGTACTTTGACAGTTACCCAAACTCTTTCATTCTTTCCAGTTTTCTTGTACGCCTCGGAATAGAATTGTCTAGATAGACTGTGCTATATAAATGCCTATTATTATTATTTATTTTGTGCGGCAAATTTAATATTTCGATTTAGAATATATCCCACACACACAATTTTTAATTTTTTTTAGGCAACCGTTGAGAGTTATGGCGTGATTCATGTTTTGTTTTACTCATTGATTTGTTGTTAAGCTGCTGAAAAAAATTCATATTCTCGACTGGAATTGGCCTTTAATGGCATGTGGAAAATCACTACAATCCATTAATGTTCAAGAGGCTTAGAGGAGAGAGGGGCAAGTTCGGCATACATTGATGTCAGATTTTCATGGAATATGGACAAATCACAACCTCCAACACTGAACATAGTGAATGACGATCTCCACAAGCATCAGTGTCATACAGGTTCACTATCTCAGATGATAATGGCATGGTGGAAAGTTACTATCTTCCAATATGACATTGCCAATGAAAGAGGGTGCATTTCCATACTGACTTTCAAGAAAAACAAGTCATTCTTACAAAAAGACATGAATCCTGCAACTATAATTGTGAAAGAATGGCCTTGCTAATTAGGGCTGGGACGGATAGAGGTTGGCACGATGGTGGTTTGGGGTCGGTGGGTAGGTGCAACGAGTGTCTGTGATTCAACATTTAAAGGTATAGACCAGTTTTGGAAATGCCCCCCCCCCCCCCCTCTCTCAAAAAATGAAATGGAAGCTCTTATTACCAATCATGTGAAAGAATGTTTTGAATAGTACGTGATGATACAAATTTTGCCGGGAAACTACCTACTAATTGATATATTTGGTAAATTATATCTATCCGGACTGGATAGATATCACACAGTCCCATATACATCTTTCTGTGTACAGTGCTTGTAACTTTACCAAGACTGGGCCAAACCTTGCAGTACACACCAATACTTATATGCTAGATGATCAACCTTTTCTGATCAATTCCACAACGTTTCTTTCACAATGCAATCACATGACCAGAACTGGTCCATACCTCATACTTGGGAGATACAAAGATCAGAATCTACATCCTCTGTCAAACAAAATAATTGTTATCCTGTCTGGATTCAAAGAAGAACTAAGATGGTAAGTAGACCTTGACTTCCAGAGCATACTTAAGTCACAAAGACCCTTGGGTATAGGAAGCATAGATCTAATGTTAGGTCTAGACCTAGGTCTACTAGATGTAAAGTATTGTTGATGTGGCCTATAGAGCAAATAAGCACCTCCTGTACTCTCATCTGGTGGAAAAACTGTCATCATCAAAGTGATCTAGGAGGCTATAACTATCTTCTTGAGGTGAAGCCAAGGTAAGAGTAGAAAGTATCCCAAGATCACCAAGGCGATCGTTGTTTGTCCCATCATCACAGTAGTTTTATGTGATTACCACCACCAACAGGCAGGCTCTTTAGGTCTTTACTCGCTCCACGTCCATCAGCACATGGAGATTATATGTTGTAATGTGGTGTGTGAGTATAGGCTGTGTATGTTCTGTTGAGAGCTGGAAGGGCTTAGGTTGAAATAACTCCATGAATGTAACAGGGCAGAACTCTTAGGTATAGACTAGTATAGACCAGTTTTGGAATCGCCCCCCTCTCAAAAAATGAAAAGGAAGCTCTTATTTACCAATCATGTGAAAGATTATGATTTGACCAATACGTGATGATACAAATTTTGCCGGGAAACCGCCTACTAATTGATATATTTGGTAAATTATTATATCTATCTGGACTGGATAGATATGCCACATGTTTGTGTAGTCCCATATACATCTTTCTGTGTACAGTGCTTGCAACTTTTCCAACACTGGGCCAAATTTCTTCTCATTTTTTATGATTCCAAAACCTTGCTGTACACCCCAATAATGATCCACCTCTTCTGATCATTTTTTTAACAATGCAATCGCATGACCAGAACTGGTCTTTACCTTTAACGCCCTTCTTGCTTTAACAGGAAAATCTTTAATCACTGTATGTGGGGTGTTTGTATATGGTGTGTGTGTGTAGCTGGATTGAAATAACTCCACTGTGGAAAGAAACTGCAGATACAATTGTTTGGTTGTGTCTCCTGATGTAGTAGGATAGAAATTGTAGAAATAGTTTATCATTTTTGTTTAAAATTGGGTCCATCTGGGCACCAAAGTTGTATGTTTATGTACCCTGTAACATCTCTGGGGAGAGGTGAGTGTATATTTGGAAATGTATACTGGTATTAAATGAGTGGAGATGTGTACTTGTGTGTGTGATGGATTTCACATGAGTATATCAATCAAATGCAATTGGTGATATTCAGAATGGTCATTTCAGGATCCAAAAGACACCACTCGAGTTTGAGCCAGGATGGTTTTGCTATTCATGTAGTAAAACAAGGAAGTCCTAACCAAGAAGACAGTGATGTGTGAAATAAGAAGCGTTCTGTCACTTTGGCATATCATTCCCACCTCACTAAAAATTTATCTTGGACAGGTTCAAAAACAAACAGAAGAATCTTTCTCCTACCCCAAAATCCCTCAACACTTACATTACACTTGATCCTAAATCTTGTGAGGCCACTTTCACAAATTGGCAAAACTAAAAATGCTGGTCTGACATTGCAGTCTTTGGAACAATGGAAATCTTTTTTCAATAGTAATTTACCTAAAGACTTCTAACTGAAAATCAGCCTCATTACGATTAAAAAACAAAACACAAAACAAAAACTCAGTATCGTTTCAATAATCTTACGGGGCGAGTGTGCCGCCAAGTGCCCTCGGGTGGACGTGCCTGTACTGTAGGTAGACGTGTTCTCAGGTGGACATTCCCCTGGCCATCTGCAGCTGGGCCTGCAAAGCGGCCATTTGCTTCTCGATAGAACTCAACCGCTCCGGACTAAGCATGGCGGCCGGCGGAGCACTGCAGGGATGGTTTGGAGTACTGGGCTGCTGCTGCTGATGGCCCTGGCCCTCACTGAGGGACGGATGGGAAGATAGAGAGCAAGGTCCGCTGACTGCTGGAGATGGATCAGCTATACCGGAAGATTCCTTCACCAAGTTGATGATTTCCTGTTAGCAGAAAAATGTAGTACTCTTAAGATAAGTATAGTTCTGGGGGTGTTTCACAAAGATCCTAACTTGTAATTATCTTTAAGTTGGACTTAACAATTATGGAAAGCCGTTAGCATCTATGAAAATATTTTGCAAAAGTTATTTTAAAAGGCATAAAATGTTGATTCAAATCATTCATATTTTCTATTATCAAGGAGATTTCATGTTCTTTATATGGAATTAATGAAAAGTTTAAAATAAGGCTACAAATGGCTCTCCATAATTTTAAAGTCCAATTTAGATTCAAGTTCGACTTAGGTTCTTCGTAAAACACCCCAGGTCATACTATTGAACAGCAAAAGAAACCGTCCATAAGTTAAATGTAAAGATTGATGACGGAGTCAGTACTACAGAACAATACTGTATTGCAAGGTTTTGCAATCATAAATTGTTAACAAGTTGACTCAATCTAGTTGAAAATCTTACATATGAAATACACTGTATCCCAGTTTAGCTGTATGATAGGCTACCATCAGGATTATTTCTACAACGAGGTACACGGTACTGCACATAAATATGGGTACATGGGAACACATGTAGCACCAAGATTTATTCCATATTTTTTTAATAACTTTGATTTTTGGTATTTGTGACATGAGGGGAATGTCAAGAACAAATCTATTCAAGTGACCTTGCCTCTTTGATCTTCTTCCACAAAGGAATAAAAAAGAATGAGAAAGCTTATATATTATTTTTCACCTATACCAGAAATCATCCTATTCTTTAAAGGTCATCTACAGTTCCTAACAAATTTATACACCTACATTAGAGTTTTAAAGTTTAGGGTCATCAAGCTGCACATTTATGGGCCCCGTCTTACAAAGAGTTGTGATTGATCGTAAGTCCTCCAATCAATCGCAAGTTTGCAGTCTCCTATCTCTAATGTACATAGTTGCGATTGATATCAATCGCAAATAATTTGCTATTGATATCAATTCTTTGTAAGACGGGGCCTGGGTAAAAATGGGCTATGTCCAGAAAAAGCCTAACATGCATGGAGACACAAATTCCAATTGCTTACCTGGGAGATATTGAGACCTGTTGAGGGGTCTTCAAGCCACACGTAGGTGACATTCTCTCTGTGTTCAATGGCCTTGATGATTATTTTCTTGCTGCCAACCCCGGCCATTTCCTTGAGGCTATCTGTCACCTCGCTGCTCCAGGGTCCATTGTGGTTAGGAAGACCTACATTGAAGTAAAAGGTGGTAACAGCAGTTGTATCTCAAACTGGAAGATTCAGGATTTCAATTGTTTAGAGCGAAGCCGGAAGGGCTGTAACTCATACACTTTAACACAGCAAACACCCTTCTGGCTCACATATTTATTTTCTTTTGAAGGAAAAGTCATACATATAAGTATGAAAGGTTCTCTGCAAAAACTCTCTTACGCCTGAACTAGACTAGACGCAGTATCCCAGCCCATACCTGCCAACATTTGAAAATAAGAATAAGGAATTTTTAGCACAGTATGCCTTCGAAAATAAGAAACCACACTTGCAGCGGCAGTGTAACTGGCAAAACGCGGTAAATCTGTACCAAATAGCGAATACAAATTGGCTGCTCGATCATGCAGCCATTCAACGCACGCAATAAGTGAACTCTCAAATCCGGCACATGATAAAACAAGCTTAACTTAGCTTAAGCACCAAAAAAGAATGAGAAAAAAATCCAGAAAATCATAATATTCTGGATTATTTGTAAGGGTTGGCAGGTATGACAGCCCAAAGTACTTGTCAATCAATTTTGATAATCCCCTTCACAATTCAGTTAATCTTACAAACGACAAAGGAAACATTAACTAAAAGAAAACATGGAATTCTCAAGCTCTTCTAAAATAAAAAAAGAGAGAAAATTATCAAAAGAAAACACAGTATCATATTGATAGCTGGTGGATACCAGAGATTAGGGGCTGATACTGTGAAGGATCAGTTGCCAAAGGATGGACATGGAGATTAAGGCCAAGGTTAATAATGGGAGTGTGGGGGTGTTTGAGTCTGGCACATAAGTCACCAAACTATCAAGCTCATGGTTTGGAGATCGAATCCCCGACATCAAATTAATGTAAATGGTACTCTCTATAGGAAAGAATTCCTTGAATGCTGGCATATTATCATGGTAGCTTGGCTATGACCAGGTAATATTATCCTTGCAATCATCCTAGGGAGAGCAGTATCAATACTGAAGGGGCTACCCTAGTTGTACGACACTTGTTCAGCAGTCACTTCCTGTAATATCTAAATTTCCAATTTCAACCATGGACCCAACATTATTCCCAACTCCAACCATACTCTTTTGACAAAATAAAGTCTGGAGCAATTGCCACTGGAGGAGCAAAAATTGGTGCACTACAAAACAAAATAAAATTTCATCACAACTATTATTATTATGTACTGATTTATCAATCTCGTACCTGCAATACAACACTTGATTCCTAGTACAGGCACGGCAGCCATGTTATCGCTGAAAGGCCTCATAAGAGACAAGGGAACCTTCTCTCCATTGCCATAGTCAATGTACTGGACGTCAAACTCGTTGTTGGGTAGCTCCCGCAAGACTGCAGCACGGTACCAGTCCTTGTCGCCTGGACAGGGAACAAAACAAGAATATCCTACATGAAATACAGGAAACGTGGGGCCCGTTTCACAAAACTTGTCATCAGTGACAAATTACAGTCTTTGTTATAAGCTACTGAAATCCTTGCTTCTGATTGGTTATCAGCAGATTTATCACTCATTTTGGTCATTTGTCATTGAAAAAAGGCTTCGGGAAACAGGTCCCAGGACATTTTTTGTGACATGAATCTACTGAAAACTGCAAAAATGCAATGTCACTAATTAATCAAAGGCAGCAATAAATTTTCTACAAAACGAACAATGTGAATTGCTGGTGGATACAATATCTTGGAAATTAGAAAAATGTTTGAGAGACTACCCACTTTATTTTTAGGAAAATGAAATTCAATGGCTTTACTCTCATTTCAGTGATTTTTCACTACATGGAAAAAGGGGAATCATTTTCCAGGTTCTCTCTAATTTTCCAGGATAGTCTGCAAGTTCTACTACTATGCACCATTGATGAAATGCAATGAAATCCCCTATTTATACCCTAATTTCACCGATGTTTCTTAAATTTGTTTACTAACAAATCCTTTGATGATCATACTTACATGAAAACTGAGCCCAGCACACTTCCCCAACGCTTGGTCTGAAGTTCTGTACTGCCGGCAGGCTACTGACTTCCTTTCCTCCCTCGGCAACCAATCCCAGGATCTGAGAACCTGCCAAAATCAATTGGAATATCATATTCTTGAGCATTGAAAAGCAGTTTCAGATGACTTTTTCTGTATTTCACAAATGTCAAGGAAGAATTGTGCAATGTAAACAATTTTACACAATTTTAGTAGGCTCCATCCACTCTTTTGGACTTATATGATGAAAATTCATTGGACTATTCAGAAGGTTAAACATTGAAACCTGTCTATAGTGGACAACATGTTGTTTTTTTGTTTTTTGCAATCTAGGAACAGATAAGTGGCAGAGAACCTTCCCAGAAGGGCAAACTGCCTACAGTAATTAACTCGTGAGTACGAATGTAAATACTGAAAAAACAATAATCTGAAACTAGTGCAATTCACACTGAAATGGACATTCAAAAGTTTCAAGATAAAACTATATTATTAAAATCAGGGTGATAGTGAGCACTAGTGAGCACTTTTTTTCCCCCTTAACCACTACCCCCTTGAGTAAAAAAAAAAAAAAAAAAAAAAAAAAAAATTTGAGGGAAAAAGAATGGCATCTTACAGCATTCCCCCTTTTGAAAATTGGGGAAAAATTGGAAAATAAGGGGAAAAATTGGGGTGAAATCGGGAAGACAAAAAAAAAAAAAATAATAATTGGGAAACCGATTTATATCAGGTTATTATCAGGCCTGTAAAATGAACACTAATCTTACTCAAGCCTACATTCAAACACAAACTGTAGAAGAATTTTGAGCATATTTCTTACTCTCATTTTCAGAGGGGGAGAAGCCGTAGAACTCTCCAGGTGACACTGCCTCTGTTATCACAAACTCTGTATCCATGTTCAAGTGGATCGTCCTGAAGGTCATAGTCGACACCTTGTGACCCTTGACCTTTGGCACGACGAGGCCGCTCGCTTCAGCAATGTCCTCCTTGGTGTCGGGATCCTGCACGTCCATCGACACAACGCCATCTCCGTCTTTGATGAAGGAGGCTAGGAAGAAGCCATCCTTGCACTGGCTGAGGCGCTGCATGGCAGCCTGCGAGAGGTCAGGAGAGATGTCCCCTGAAGGCAGACCTACAAACGGGACAAAACAGAGAGGAACATACAGAGAGGGTGTTACTTAGGTACAATGTAGGTCCCGAGAGATATTACTGGAAGACATCTATCGAAAACATCATCCACAGGAAGAAGCCCTCCTTGCAAAGGCTGAGATGCTGCATGGATGCAAGTGGTGTGTCATGAATGTCCAGACAATTAATATGCACCCATTTGATACAGAGGGGCCAGAAAGATTTGTGAAGCAATCTGGATCTTCATGTTCATCATAAACATCACAATCTTCACGTGTAGAAACCTTTCAGGCGTCAAAGAACCTGTCCCTCCTCATCACCATCATCATTCAAACAACATACCTGCGAAAGAAGCTAGGAACGACTGCTGCGGGATGACGTGGAATTGGCTCGGGAGAGTGCACATCCTAGATGCCTCGAGGACCTCCGTGTTGCCAAAGTCGATGTATTCTACAAAGTACCCTCCGTCCATCTTGGCTGATTCTATGCTCACCCTGTACCACTGGTTGTCCTCTGTAGAATGGAATGTAAAAAGGTTTAACTCATTGTCAAGGAATAGATCTGAGAGTTAAACTAGATGGAATTCGACTGCGCGCAGTCGAAAATGATGCCTCCGTCATAGAGCAATTTTACAAACTGAAACGGAAGAAATTTTTCAAATTCAAGTTCAATTGTAATCCATTAACATGTTCTCAGAATATCGTGATTACAAGCAATTTCTCATATACATATATGACCCTTTGATCTTTGACCTCATGACCCTAAAATCTACTCAGTTCATTGGCTCTGCAAGATTTCCTGAGTTAAATAGTAACCCATCTGTCAGTTCTAATGAGAATGCGTCCACAAGCTATTTTTGCATACATAATGAGCCCATGACCTTTGATCTTATGAACCATTCATTGGCTCTGCAAGATACATAAATGATCTAAGTTTGGCAGGAATCCATCAATCTGTTCTAATGATAATACGATCACAAGCTATTTTTGCATACATAATGAGCCGCATGACCTTGACCTTTACCTCATGACCCCAAAATCTAATCAGTTCATCAGCTCTGCAAGTAACATACATGACCTAAGTTTGGCAGGAATCCATCAATCGGTTCTTGAGATAAGGCGATCACGAGCTGTTTTTGCATACACAATGTGCGCTGTGACCTTTGACCTCGTGACCCCAAAATCTAATCAGTTCATTGGCTTTGCAAGATACATACATGACCAAAGTTTGGCAGGAATCCATCAATCGGTTCTTCAGATAACGCGATCACAAGCTGTTTTTGCATACATAATGAGCCCTGTGACCTTTGACCTTTGACCTCGTGACCCCAAAATCTAATCAGTTCATCAGCTCTGCAAGATACATACATGACCAAAGTTTGGCAGGAATCCATCAATCGCTTGTTCAGATAACGCGATCACAAGCTGTTTTTGCATACATAATGAGCCCTGTGACCTTTGACCTTTGACCTCGTGACCCAAAATGTAATCAGATTGTTTTCCTATAGTGATACACACTATCACTAAGTTTGAAGTTTAAATCTCCAGTGGTTCTTGAGATATCATGATAACAATCTCAATGTATGGAATTTCATAAGTTGACCTCTGTGACCCTTGACCTTTGACATACGTGCTCCAAAATCTAATCAGATCGTCTTCCTATGGTGATACATACTATCCTTAAGTTTGAAGTTTAAATCTCAAATGGTTCTTGAGATATCGCGCTAACAAACTCAATACAAGGAATTTCATAAGTTGACCTCTGTCACCTGTGACCTTTGACCTACGTACTCCAAAATCTAATCAGATCGTCTTCCTATGGTGATAAATACTATTCCCTAGTCTTAAGTTTAAATCTTAAATGGTTCTTGAGATATTGTGATAACGGTCAAACGGGACGGACGGACGGACGTACGGACGTACGGACGTACGGACGGACAACCCGAAAACATGATGCCTCCGGCACCACCTTCGGTGGCGGAGGCATAAAAAGGGTATCTCAAGAAAGATGTCACTCATGTAGAGCTTGCCAACCTTGTGCAACCAAAAAAAGGAACCATTAAAACAAACCTTACAACCACGCGCGACAAACTACCAATGCAGAAATGTCCATTCCTCATGCTGTTATTTCCATATTAGGACCTACATGTATAGTAAATTTACAAGTAGGTAGTTTTTGTTTTTGTTTTTGGTATTATCAGCGTTTCATTCTATTTAAGAATATTTACGCCTTTCATTTTTTTTTACTAGTGAGGTAGTGGTCAACATTTTAGGGCATTTGGTTGAAGAAGAAAAAAAATATCAAAAATAAAAAGTATTTTATGAAGAAAAAATGTACTACCTTATTGGAAGAAAAAAACTGAATAATTCTGGGAAAAACGTAATGGTTGGCAGCTCTGCTAATTGATCTCATTTCTTGTCAAATGTCGAGTTCAATTATACAGAGTAAGATATTCAAACACTCTTTTCCCAAAAGAGATGGTCACAGTGATTAAATTTAGGCACTGATAATACCAAATTATCACTATTATTGTTAGTAACAGCAATATTATCGTCATCATCATCATCAGTGTTACATCCAGATATGAGAAAATAGGGACTGAATGAAGTATCATTTTCCATCAAGATTTCAAGTTGATAGGAACATCACATATTGCTAATCGTCAAAATATCAAGATTACGCAATCCTGAAGAAAAATTTACCCACACAACGAATTTGTCAAAACTAATATGCATACACCCAACTTGTGTGTAAATACAACAACACAGTCCTCACATTCACAGGGGTGATAGTGAGCACTAAAAAAAAAAAGTTTTTTTGTTTTCCCCCTCAACCACGCCCCCCTTGAGTAAAAAAAAAAAGAAAAGGATTCGCGGGGAAAAAAATGGCATCTAACAACATTCCCCCCTTTCGAGTAAGAAAATTGGGGAAAAAATAGGGCAAAATAGGGAAGGAAAATTAAATCTGGTAAAAAAAATGAAAAAAAAAACAAATCTGGATTTTTTTTTTTTTTTTTTTAATCAGGAAGAAAAAAAAAATTTCAGGAAAAAATCGGGAAACCGATTTAAATCGGGTTTTTATCAGGCCTGCATTCAAATAGTGGGTTGAATAACTCCTCGTACAACAGCTACACGTGTGAACACGGTTACCCTTGCAAAATACTACTCACGTGTAAACCTGCCAGCACAAACTTCGCCAAGGATGGGGGTGAAACCAGGCTGCTGAGGTTGGCTCTCCATGCAAGCATTCAATGCTCCCGACAGCTCTTCCAATGCTTTCAAACCTGACATAGAAAAATAAGAATAACTCATTAGATGGTTAGAAACAGGCGTTATTTCTAATGGTGTAATTGTGTTTTGGGAGTGCTACGTAATAACTATGAAGTAAAACTAGATGGAACTTTGACTGTGTGCAGTCAAAAAAATGATGACTCTGTCATAGAGCAATTTTACAAACCAAAACAGAAGTAATTTTTAAATTCAAGTTCGATTGTAATCCATTAACCGGTTCTCAAAATATAATACAATTATTTCTCATATACATGTATGACCCTTAGATCTTTGACCTTATGACCTCAAAATCTACTCGGTTCATTGGCTCTGCAAGATACAAACATGTCTTGAGTTTAATGGTAATCCATCCAAATTTCAAGGAAACAGTATTTTGAAAATGTTCTGCCTCTGAAAGTTCAACATGAACAGACTCTACATCCTTATTTACTGCCCCTTTTTCATTCATTCTTGACATTTTCATTTCTGTAGTACAATGCTACAAAAGTCTGCATTTTCGACGAGGTACTTTAACTGGTATTCTTGTGAAATATTAAAGCAATTATCAATTTGCTCTGCCCAGAAGCAGTTCGTTCATTCATTACAAAGCTATGGTGACTTATTTCCAACTCTTAGAGACTTTACACACCAGCATGTTTGTGTATGTGTAGGGGTATATACTGAATGAGCAGGGGCCTATTATATATGGCCCTCTACCCATACACTAGTATACAGGGACCGTATTTGATGCAATACTTGAATTAAGTCTGTATTTTACTTAGCATTTAGCTTAGCTAAGTAAAATAGATCAAGTCTCATTCAGATCACATCAAACTATTTCACTTTATTAAACCAAATTTAAAGAAGTCACCCAAAGAATTACAAGTGTTTTGAATTGATGTAAAATTCATATCATTGCGAAGGAGAAGCCTTACTGATCAAATATAACAACTTCTCTCTTCAGAATATGTTTGGGGCCTGCAGTAATCATCTCTCAAAAATGTTAATTTTGAGATCCAGATTTTCTGCCTTCAGCGGTCCTCCGTAGAGCGTCAAGATTTGTGATGTCACAGCTAGCCACAAAATTGCATGTTACGCCTTTCCATGATATCTATATGATTTTTCATCAAATTATTCATGTTTTTCAAGAGAAAATCTTTCCATCCATATATAATTATCCATAATTATCAGTTGTCGTGAATTTTCTTTGGGTGACTACTTTAAGCAACAAAAAAAAAAAGAAAAAGAAAATTGGTGGCCAACGATGCATCTCATAGCCAATCCAAAATTATGGACAACCAACATGATAAAGACGTTTTCTTACTTTCAGCAGTGATGATCTGGCACTGCATCTCCCTTGGATTGACATAGTTGTTGATGGCAATCCTAACTGGTTCTCCTCCGAAAGGAATCTGCATGCGCTTCATCGAGGCCTTCATCAGAACTACAAAGATCAAGATGGGAAGATAATAACAGGCACAGGATAATCCAGTGAAAAATACACAGGAGCAGCGAACAATTCAGCGCTGGAGGGTTTTAATAGAGTTCTTGTAACCAGCAAAAGAGCTAGGGAAATATACACAATCAATACAAAGCTGCTGCTTGTGTGTGCATAAAATGACTAAATTTTGTGGGTGCTTCAGACTCGCAAAAGGTTTATGGTGTGGAACAAATGAATTACAGTTGATAGACCACCAAATTTTGGCAACTTGTGTAAGCTCATGGTGTTAAGAGTATGAGGAATCCAAGGCCAGCAAAAAGAACATGTGAATTATAAGTATGTTTTACACTGAGACAAGTTCCATGTACTCACAAGGAGACAGGATATCACAAGAAACCGTTTATCACAAGTCATTCTGAATAATTTTCTTTTCTTGACAGTATCAACTGACTCAGTCGGATTTTCTTTCTTTTTTCTCTTGCTCTCTCTTCATTTCCAAATATTCAGAAAAACTAAAATCTCTTGAGCACTAAAGCTTTTTTCTTCACTAGAACTGGAACTGGAAGAATGAATGTTTACCTTTCCTGGGCGATGTAGATGGTTGGCTACCCTTGGGCCAAGCAAGTTCCTGTTTGATCAAAGCATCACCAACAGATACTGTGCCTGCAGAAGCATAGTGGGAAGACGAATCGGTTACTCCTAAGACACAACGGCGACAAATTTCAGCTTAAAAGTTAATAGACTTCAATATTAGATAGCTTAGACAGATACCGAGGTGTGATTGGTCCAGAGCTTGTCACGTGATATCATTTGTGAGGATCCAAATTGTTATATTTTCCTGGCCGGTCACTTTTCGGTGTTATATTAACCAGCTGGTGAAATGAATATATTTTTAATCAATGCATGTCGCCCTCTTGAGGACTGTATGTCACCAATTACACACATTACACCATTACCGAGGGTCATTTAATTTTTTCAATATTTTTTTTTCATGAATTTTTTTTTCCCTTGAAATTATTTTTTTCCACATTTTCTCTTTTTTCCCACAAAATGCTTTTTAAGGTAATTTTTTTTTTTCCCGAAAAATGCTTTTTTGGGTAAGAATTTTTTTTCCCCAAAATTTGTTTGTAATTTTTTTTTTCTTTCTTGAACTATCTCGACAGATTATTTTTCCGTAATTTCCGAAAAAAAGGGGAACAAAAAAATTTCGGGTAATTTTTTTTGGACCCCCCCCCCCACACAAAAAAAGGGCTATCTAATATAACAGTTATTGACTGGCAGGGGGTATATAACATTCTTTGGACCTGAAGGGAGTTATATTTCCCCTCGTGACCATATTTTCCCTCAGCGCGCCACTTGGGAAATATAACTCCCTTCAGCGGTCCAAATAATGTTATATTACACCCCCTGTCAGTCAATAACTGTATAATAAACCAATTAGGAACTGACTTCATACAAGGGGTACTATAACTACTTCATCCTTCGATTTGTACGTCATAAAATATGCCTTGGAGTTGCAAAATTGCAAATGCCTTTGTTGCCCAGGCTGCAGCTGCAATTATATTGGTAGTTTTGCCAACTATGCAGTATAAAAATGACTCCTATGAAAAGTAGATATTAAACATCATTTTCCAAAAATTTCCTTTAAAAATTTGAGCAATATTTGTTTAACATAGAAGAATAATTAATTCACAATTAAACAACCGTCAGAACATCACCAAAGTAATAAATAGAACCTTGAATCCTGCATTACAATACATATTGAATATGATTGAACATGTTCAAAAACAGTATTTGAGAATGTGCCGAGACAGGCTATCACATCATGACACATGGTCAAAACAATTAAATGTACCAAGCCTAGAAGTAAAACAAATATATAATAGACTGAAGAGGTTCTATAAGATTTTTTTATTGGGGATGCAGCCCTGTATGTGTTTCCCAAACCTTTTGCAGCTTCCCGAGACACATTTGTTTTCAATGAATGTCTCAATAAATACAAATACAAAATATAAACATCACTTTTCCCCAAATCTTTAAAAAAACACTTTCACCAACCTGACTTTTTATCCTCGACTTTCAGAACAACCTGGTAGACACCTGCCTTCTTGTCTTCAAAGCAAACGGTGGGCATCGGGCATTCCTTGAGTAGTGAATCCATCAGCTTTACACTGTCATAGCACCACTTGCCAGCGCTACCCCTCGGCTCCACCCCTGCAATAGCACAGTGAAGTCCCTGCAGATAGGGAAGGTAAATTGTGAAATCACAGCTTAAAGATAAAGTCGAGTTCTGGTCATGCGATTGCATTGTAAACGTTGTGGAATCGATCAGAAAAGGTTGATCATCTAGCATATAAGTATTGGTGTGTACTGCAAGGTTTTGGAATCATCACAATGATAAGATATTTGGCCCAGTCTTGGTAAAGTTACAAGCACTGTACACAGAAAGATGTATGTGGGACTACATAAACATGTGGCAAAAAATCTGTCCCAATTTTTATGATGTTACATGCCATATTTAGAAAATTAAATCATGGAGCACTAAATAGTTCTTCTCAGTAAACTTATTCACAATACTGGAAGGTGGGTGTCATAAATATACTAAAACTCTAGAGTTGAAACAATGTTCAGTTAATTCACTTACAAATACTGGGAAGTCCATGAGTTCTGGAGAGGCAGGTCGAAGGTCATTGAAGGAAACCTTCTCTGTGTTGCCGAAGTCCACCATGAAGACGGTGGCCATACGTTCTTTGCTGACCGTCTGGATTGTTGCCCGATACCAGGAATCGTCCTCGGCATACTTAGAGATGCACATCATTTGAGGCTGTATATATATAATGGAAAAAAATTGAAAATCAAAATAATTGCTCACACATAAAAAATGCTAGAAGTGGAAACAAGTCTGGTATCAAAAGTTAGCGAAAGTTGTCGCCTGAAAGAGCATGTATCACAACAAAGTGACGCAATTAAAACCTCAAATGGCAGCAAATGAAGCAGAACAGATGAAAGTGTGTGACTTTGTATTTCCATTTAGTACTCTTTCTAATTCAGAGTTTGGTAATCGTATTGAATGGAGATACTGATAATGTTTTTGATGATTTAACTGATAATATCCTGATAAAAATACTGATATATTTCATGTAACAATAAATACTGGCTACCAGAAGAACTTAGAACATGTCATGAAATGTCAAGTGGAGTGGATTTTTAGTGTAATTCATTTCAATTCAAGTAATATGTATACAAATATACTCGCGGCGCAATTGCTTGAAATTCTACGGAATCGCCGAACCTGAAGTAGCTGATCATCTGGAGGATACAGTTGAAATTGTATGCAGACTCGCTAAGCAGTGACTCGGGGTACAACTATCGAAATGTGACATAGATCGATCACATAAGAGTGGCAAGAAAGAAAAACAAGAATGAAGGGGGCCAAAAAAGACCCGTCCACGGGCTGTGATTGTGAAATTCACATCGTATCGAGTTTGCGATGCTGTACTTGAAGCACCCAAAAAGCTGACAGGAAGTGGCCTAGCAATTGGCAGAATCATAGCCCTTGTACACAGGTCTGACAACAAACACAAGAAACTGATTACAGAGAAAAATGATCTGGACAAATTATAATCAATCTATGAAACAATCTTCATTACACAAAATAATTTTTTGCAAACTAATTATACAAATATTTAATTTAGCTCCCCCCCCCCCCCCACCCCCACCATTAACGGTTAAAATCAGGTATAGCATTTGGTACAGGTTTGAAGTAAAGAAATTGGCAAAGCAGTTGTCGTTGGGGCATGCATAAGACAAACGAATATCTACATAGATGTTGAGCTACTAAAGAACTCTGTATGATACAGAGAGGAAGACTTACTTTAGGGTCTTGTAGGGGTCCTGTTGCTTCTACTTGCTCCATGAGGACTTTCAGCATTTGGTTGTAGAGTTGTACGTTTGTCTCATCGCCGACTTGAACCCAGAAAGAGCCAGGGCTGTTCTTGTGAGTCAGTACAACCTACAAACAGGAATACAGCATCATGAAATACAAGTATAGTAAAAAAAATCTAGATGGAACTTCGACTGCGCACAGTCGAAAGTGATGCCTCCCGTCATAGAGCAATTTTACAAACCAAAACAGAACTTGAAGAAATATTTCAAATTCAAGTTTGGTTGTAATCCATTAACAGGTTCTCAGAATATCGTGATTACAAGCTATTTCTCATATACCTATATGACCCTTTGATCTTTGAACTCATGACCCCAAATGCAAAATACATACATGTCTTGAGTTTGATGGTAATCTATCCATCGGTTCTAATGATAATGCAATCACAAGCTATTTTTGCATACATAATGAGCCCTGTGACCTTTGAACTTTGACCTTGTGACCCCAAAATCTAATCAGTTCATTGGCTCTGCAAGTTACATACATGACCAAAGTTTGGTAGGAATCCATCAGTCGGTTCTTGAGTCTAACCATTGACCAATCAGAATCAATTTAATTTCAAATCTTTGTGCAATGGGGCCCTGGGTGGAGAGTGGCAAACGTAGATTAATATCTCGTCAAAAGACACAACCATTTAGAACAAAACAGATTGTATCTTCTATAAACTTACTCTCATTTCTGTCTTGGAAGGTTCAATGAACTTCAGATTAACAGAGGTCAGCTCAGGGGGTGAGGCACCTGCATCGCTCTGGTCACTAAGAAAAAAAATACAAAAAAGAAACAATCATTCAAAGTATCATTTTACTGATTAAAGTCGCAGACACTGGACATAATACAAAACTGAATATATAACAAAAGAGGGATATTCCATCAAAACACAAACATGGATGGTCTTCTGTGCCAGAGTATGGAATGCTTTTGGATGACAGTGTACACAGGTAACTGTAACCAGATTGGGGCCTTTTAATATTCAAATAGACTTTTAACTTACTGCATCTTAATTTGATCTATTGTAAAAAAAATATTTGTAAAAATCCCCTAACAAGTCATAAGAGATGGAGAAACTTTTGAAGAAGTGCCATGGCAAAATGGAGCAAGATAAGCATAGTGTACTCTACATGTATAGCACACAGAGAATGAGTTCACATAGGATCTATATATCGCAGGCAGCTATCAATCATTTACAGTACATGTTACTGTGACATTACAAGTAAAAAGAGCCACATTATCATGTTGTGTGTGGATGAGGCTAAGGAGGAGTTTACCTGGATTGGTTAGGCTTGCACTTATTCTTGTGTTTCCTCCAGTCACCCTTCTGGCACGTCACGGAGCAGTAGGTAACGCCACACTTGGAGCAGTGCTTCGAACCTGTGGGGGATTGCAAACCATGCACAGCTACATGATATTACTTCCATCTGCCTCTGAGACTTGCTCTAGAGTAAAAACTGCTCCGTAGCACATTCCTCACACCCGGAATTTACCTTCATCCCTTGATACAACCCCAATAGACCAGTTCGTAGATACTCATAGATGTTCTTTCATGCACCCCCATATAAGATGGGTCTACAATTCCGTTAACATTCAGAAAGAATTTTTTTTTTTTGGGGGGCCATTCTGTCATTCAGATCAGGGTGAATTGTGAGGGTCACAATTTCTGACCGCAATGCCAATTTGTCTCTAAGATCCCATGATTTTATGATTTTTAAAGGTCCACTCTCCCTTCCTCCCCCTAAAAAACTTTCTGTATCTTGTGCAAAACATTATTGGCTATTGATAATTGATTCACTATTCAATAAAGCATTCTTGACTTCTCACTATAAACCAGATTGCCTGCTGTGATTACACAATCAAACCTGCTTTAGTGACCACCTGTCTACAGAGACCACATTTTTTGTTTCCTTGAAAATGTTTTCTGCCTACAAAGAACACTTTTTGTGTTTCCCTTGGGCGGTTGCCATAGACAGGTTTGACTGTACCAAGTGAAATTGAACATACCTGGTTTCTCACACGCTTCACACGGTTTCAGATCACATTCTGCCTTCTTCTGCTCAGCTGTCTCCATCCTTCCAGCAGGTGACACAGCTATGGAGGAGGCACCCTTGTTATTCTGGCTATCCTGATCCTTGGACATCGGCACTGGCACCGGCTTGTTGACCTCCGGGCTCTTGTTCTTGGTCGGGCTGGGCTTGCTGAATGCGCTTCCACTGGGACTCTGCTGGAAGCTCTGTGCCTGACCTCTTTCCGTTGGTGACCGACCTCTTTCCGTTGGCGTCCGACCTCTTGGGGGGAGACTGTTGACCTGCTGCTGGTTCTGCTCGTGGTCGGACCTAGGAATTCGGCTCGGACCGTTGTAAGGCACATCTCTGCCGTTGACGAAGACTGGGGACGTTACGTCGCCCGAGGCCTTGGTAGTAGCCCCTTGGCTTGCGCCTTGGTTCGGCGCTTGGCTATGGTTCCGCTGCATGTGGGCCATGAGTTCCATGAGCAGTCGCTGGCATTCTTCGCAGCCCCCAGTCACCATGCTGCTCATAGGAGATGACTGTTTGGTGGGAGACGACCTGCTGCTCATAGGAGAGGACTGTCGGGAGGGTGACCTGTCGGTCATAGGAGAGGACTGTTTGGTGGGGGACCTGCTGCTTTCCTTGTTCACGCTGTGGCCATTGCCGTTCATGGAAATACCATTGTTCATGCTGGATGGTGGTGATTGGGCTGGAGCTCCTCTCATTCCGCGGGCATCACCTCCAGGGCGAGGCCTGCCTTGAGGCCTACCATCGTCTCTGTTGAAGTGCCTATAACAAAATGGTTCAAAATATTAATCATTACCACCAACTAATTCAGTGTCACAAGACTACTGTTAATGCTGTTATTTTCGGCGCTGAGCGATCTCAAAACATATTTGCGAGTTCTTAAATTCGCATTGCACCAAATTCAGCCCGTTCAGAAAATCATGTTTATATTTTCACGGGTCCTAAAATTTGTGGACACCGACTTTAGCGCCAAGTCCGCGAAAATTAATGTCCATGTACCGCAAATATTTCCGCGTTTACAGTATCCACGTTTACGGTATTCCATGGGTAACAGTATACAACCACATTCAATATTGAGAAGTTTTTAAATATAATATCTTCGGTATCAACTCACATTTACCCTAACCATGTTTAAAACTTCCTACAGTAATATGTACAGGGCAAAAAGCTTGACACTTCAATCTGGAGAAAGTTAAAGGTTTACATCTAACTTAATCTACCTTGATGGATAGAAATTTTGGAGAAAGTTGGCCCGTGAACTACCCACAAACATCCTGACCGGACTGTGGATCACAAGGTCTGCGGTTCAAGTCCCATCGCGGCACTAATGTCCTTTGGCAAGACATTGATCTACCATCAACTCTCCACCCAGGTGTTAAATGCGTACCCGGCAGGATGCGAAAGCTAATGTGCTTAGATTAGCAAGTGCGCGCTTGTAAAAATGACGCCTGGCTGGAATGCTCCCCAGGGAGTGGAGAATGTGCATACATTATGTGCGGGTAAGCCTGAATCCGATGACCGGGGTAATAATATATATATACTGTATCTGTAAAGCGCTTTGAGAGGGCCCTCGGTCATGAAACGCGCTACATAAGAACTAGTTATTATTATTATTATTATTGTTGTTTATTAGAGTTCAATAGTAAGAGCTAAACTTACTCATTTCGTTCCTCTCTCGCAATGGTCACACTGAGACAGTGGTCCTTGATTTTGTGGCCGTCCATTTTTTTGATGGCATTCTCCACATCCTTCACAGAACTAACGTTAACAAACCTGCCAAGAAAAAATAAAAAAGAAAGGTGGGGAGAGAAAAAAATTAAAATTAGAAAAAAAGAATGAGAAAAAATGTTAAGAAATTGCACACAATGATGACAAAAAGCTTGGGTTCATCGTTGTTCAAGCCTTTCAAGTTAACAAATTTTGAAATAAATATTTAAATTGCAAAATATTTTTCATGACTCTCTCCATTCAGGACATGACAATCATAACAGATATATTTCCTCCAAGAGAACTTATACATGTACAGTATGTGACATGGGAGAAAACCTAAAGACTAGCTCACACACGGCGTGGTAAACTTGGCATTTAAATTTTTTTTTAAAGTGGAAAGGGGTGAAAAAGGGGGAATGAATGCAATAAAGGTCCTTCATTGTAAATATACAGACAAGGCTGTAAGCTTGTATTTTGGTAGTTGTGTACATACATCCAGACAAATTGCCAGATATACGTGTAAATGGTCACCATGTTTTGGGGATTTACTTTAAAAACGTAACAGTTTCGTTAAAAATCTCAACAGTTGGCAAGTCTGTGTGTAGTTGTCGAACAGACGAGTACACAAAACATCCGTGCACACGTTGCAGCCTTAATACAGACTATCTGTGAGTTAAAAACAAACAAATAAATGTGAAACTGTGCATTATGAGTACTTGGATTTTGCCTCAGCAGCTTAGTGCACCATATGAGATTGAGAACAAAGCTTTACACTTTTGTCATTATCTTTGAGACCTCATGCATACAAGACTATTAAAGTATGCATTTGATTATAAAGACACAATAATGCGATCCTCATGAATATTTCAAGATATACATTTTAAAGAAAAAACAACAGCATGAATCACATAAACCAATATTTACTCTAGGACCAGCTTGCCAGTAACATGTAATTGAGATTCCTCTTGTCTCTCCATCTGTCCTTAGTACAACACCAAAAAGTATAGAACGGTCTTAAAATTCCTTGTGGTTTGTTTGCTTCCACACCAACAAAAAGGAGGTGAAAACTCTGAACAAGTTGCTGTTCTTAAAGAAATAAACTAGTGGTTAAATGATCTTCCTTGTATACTAAGCACACAGTTCCGAATACAAATGCAGAGTGAAATGAATGCCAAAAATCTTGCTTAGAATCTGGATATTGGGCAAGACACATGATGCATGTTGGGTATATTGCGCAATACACACACGAGGGGATTCCCCCCAATTCACATTTCCTTCTCGTTGCCATGCTCTTCCCATTTCCTGGCAACAGATCATGTTTACCTTCACGAGGGACTATGTCCAGTAACTTGTTGGAAAGGTGGGAGTTTTCAGATTAAAAAAAACCTACAGGTATGCGTTGGGGAAAACATCCTGTAATATTTCTTTCTTGTCCAATATTCACTAAAGCTCTGTGTTTTTTAAACTTTCCATCATAAAAAATGCAGCAATTTACTGCCTAATATCTAAATGAGGCTTCAGAATAAAAAGTCAAAATGTGGAAAACGGGCTAAAACTTACCCGTAAGTATGCGGCATCTCAGACTGTTTCACAAAACAGTCTGTCACTGTTGTCACTGAAGAAAACAAGTTCTCCAGCCCCTTCTGCAAAGAACAATATGCCAGATAATTAATTTTTTTTTTCAATCTATACAACAACAAAAATCAACAAAAAATGTTGAGTTTTTACATTAAAATTGTGGTTGTAAGCATATAACTCAATATTTATTGCATGTATATGAATAGACCGAAAGCTTCAGTCTCTATAATCGTCGGTTGTTCCACTGAGACTACGTCTGGCTCCACTAGACCTCCGGTTATAGAGACTGAACGATCGCCTATACCATCGTATGTTGAAGATATCACGGCTAGATTTTAGCCGTTAGGCCCCTCCCACAAACATGACAAACTTGCCACGGCCGTATTGTTATGCCCCCAAAATCCCCCAAAATGTCATTTTACCTCGTGTATATCCAATTTTAAATTAGGCCTAGGCTATAATACATTGGTTCCACTTACTAACTTGATTGAAATAATCCGTTTAATGGTCCCTTTTAAGGAAATTATGGGTCAAAATCGACATCCATGTTGAAAATCTTGCAAGCCGTGTTAAACTCTCGCTGCCGTCAATCTCATCCCTTCTAGTCTACGCCGAAGGCAAAATGATTATGAAGGAAAAACTGTGATAACGCCATTACGAACGTGTAGATGGCGCACAGTTTATAGAGACTGAAGCTTTCGGTCTAGTATATGAAATGCTTCACTTGTATGCAGTGATTGCGAAGCTACTGAAGTAAATGCCCCCCCCCTTCAAGTGGCATAAAAAGGGAAGGGGAAAGAGAGAGAGAGAGAGAGAGAAAGAGTATGAGACGAAGAAGAAGTAAGAAAGGGAGAGAGGGAAACGAAACATGAAAAGGAAATGGCTCCCACACTTTCCTCGTCAATTCACATTTCAAACACCCAGTAATATTTTGAAACACATGTCTCACAACAAACAAAAGGTGAAAATCCATCTAGATAAAAATATTTCAAAATCCTTCACCGGACTCTGGCTTTTCATTGTCACCTATCTTTGCTCCAGTGATCTCGAGGCAGCAGACAGCAAGAAACTGTGTAAAAAAACACTTGGCTTGAGAAAGTCCAGGAGAAAGTCCAGGAGAGTAGACAAAAAGCTTGCCTCCTAAATCATGAGAGTGGTAGAAGCTTAAGCTTCATATTTATGATTACTCCAACTAATGAAATTGTTATGTATCGGCTAGTAATACGGGTGCCTCCTGATTTTGCCGGTGCCCACTCAAAAGCCTGGGCCCATCTTTTGCCACTGCCCGCATGCTTTGCGTGCGACGAAATATAAAATAGTTTCACTTACGTTTGTCATTTCTTTGGGCAGGCCCCTGATGTAAAGACGATGTCTCTTAGGTCCTGATCGACTGGCCCTGCTGCACAAAAAAAAAAAAAAAAAAAAAAAATTTATACATTTATAAACACAAATTTTAACAATTTCAGATGATGAAAAAACTTTGGTATACTCGGGGCATGAAACATGGAGACCAGCCGGGTGTTCTTCCCACAAAAATAAGAGTTTTACATTAAAACAACATTATGTAATGCTGATGAACAGGTTCTATACATTGTTATAGAGTACAGAAGCTGTGACGTCATAAAAATCTATTATTAAAATTTCTCAATTTTTTCTTCATTTTCCGAAAGCATAAAAAATAATGTCCAAATGTCGAAAACAAATTTAATATTTTAAGTATTGGCTGAGATATGACCGTCTGAATAAATATATGTCCTATGGGAACTCAGTGTTATATGCTCTGGCTCCTAATGGTTAGGAGCCAGAGCATATAACACTGAGCTCCTATGGGGAGTATATTCATTCAGATGGTCATATCTCGGCCAATACTTGACATATTAAATTGGTTTTCGACATTTTGACATTATTTTTTTACGCTCTTTCAGAAAATGAAGAAAAAAATTGAGAAATTTTAATAATAGATTTTTGATGACGTCACACTTCACCACTCTATTGGGCAGTACCTGTTCCTCCCCAATCTACCTGCAACCAAAAATAAAATCTGATCTGTAAAATTATTTTAACAGACCATCAGGTTTAATAGTGACATGCATAGGTTCATTAATAGAAGTGCCTTTTTAAAATACAAAATCTGATCTGTAAAATCATTATTAGAAACTGTGCTTCTTTTCAAAACTAACTTACTTTCCGCCAAGACCTGAAGCAGGCCCCCTGTTATAGGAGTTGAAGGAATGGTTCGCGTGATCCTCCGCCATTGGGTTCCATTTGTCATCCATGATGGGTGATGCTCTGTTAAAAAAAATGTTTAAATATTACTTATTAACTCTTATCGTGCCAAGAACACTGTTCTGTGCATGCGCTGGCGTGCCACGCACACATAATCGGGTTTCTGTTGACTTGCCATGGACACATAAACTCTCATCCGCTCGCGTGCCACGGACACATTTTCGTGCATAAGTACACAAGCTAATTGTTTATGCCTATTGTGCGATGCGCATTGCGTGCACGCATGAATGCTTACTGTATTTATGGAGGGGGTTTATTGTTGTTTTGATTTTGCGTGCTTCACGTATACCGTTACATTGGATTTTCCTGAGAAAATTGCGATATTTTATCATCAAATTTGTCAGTTTTGATCATGGCCCCTCAGATTGTGTGCGGGAAATGAGACAACGGATTGGTTTGACAACTCACTGATAGTGCTTATTTACTTTACCAAAATTACAGATTCATGAAATGATATTGGTATCAACAGAAAGAGGGTTAAATTTCCTACAACTTTAACGTACAATTCTTTTTTATACAATATACAGATGAGATGTTATAGTGGATCAAACATAGTAACAATTTAAACTACACGCACTTGAACCAACCCTAAATTAACTTAGCACACAGGAGATTAGTAGCGGGCACAATAGGGATTAGCACTGTGGCACTGGGTGAATTGCATAGGGGCAGCTTAAGAGTTAACTGAAATAACGATGACAAGGCAGACATTGTAGAGATGCTGTGGTCTAGTGGCTCTAATGTCCTTTGGCAAGACATTGATCTACATTTGCCACTCAACCCAGGTGATGTAAATGGGTACCTGGCAGGAATTAATTCCTTGCAAGGCTAGAGCGCCGTAATGGCAGCACAACTAAAGCCGGGGTAATAATCTCCAAGTTTGGAAGCGCTTAGAGACTTAATTGTAATTTGCGCTATGTAAAAGCAGAGTATTATTATTGTTATCATTATAGTGGATAAGTCATCGGACTGCAGGTCACATAATGCCTTACCAAAGGGCACTAGCGCATTGACTTGGTTTTGACGAACCTGGGGGCTCCTGGTTACGAGACCACTGCTCTACAACTGAGCCATCGCGCCTCCCTATATGGATAGCGCATCATTATAGGTCCTCTAAAAAGAATAGATCTTCCATAGTCCTACATTTATGGAAAAAGGACATTTTTGTCATTTTGTGTGCTGGAACAAATTGGATAGTTTTCCGCCACTTCATCAGAGATATTTTACTGATTCAGCCAATTTGAAGAGCCCATACCTACAGTGATTACAGCTCTCAAACATTCATAACTTCCCCTTTTTGGGTCTGATTTCATTCAAACTTTCACCGACCCACGTTTCTGATTTTTCTACTACATGTATCCTCTAGGGGTAGGTTGCCATCAAGTTTGGCTCTCCCTTTAATAGTGAAAAGAAAGTCAGCTCTTTGCCCTTTTGTATGGTTGTCAAGCTAGCATGAAATCGATCTGAAGTCAAAATGTAAAAAAAAAGAAAGCAATAATTATCTACAATATTGCAACAACATTAGGAACCATATGCTACTGTATAGAGTACAGAGAAATCACAATTAGAATGAAACATAATTAGAATGAAACATAATACAAATGAAATATCCAATTTGGGGCACAAAAAATACAGGCTACTGGAAGTATAAATCAAGCTTCATATTGTGATGACACTGTATCAAATAAAAAAGGTCTACTGCCAAGGCATTTAGGGTTAGAGAAAGTCGAACATTGAAGTTGAATGAAATATTGAATGTATGCAACTCTTTGTAACTTTTGTTACTAGAAGGTGCAAAAAAAATCATCTTTTTTCCACCTTCAAATAATATTATGATAGGATGTCATTGGACAGATGAAAACAAAATGTTTTTTTTATTCTTTAAATGTGAGTATGAAATGTGCAAAATGTTAATTAATGCATTATGTGTAATCACCCTGAATTTAAAGTATAGATAATTGATGGTTAAATAGGAAGAAAAAAAAAACTCTTAATTTGCTGAAACAAGATTTTTCCATTTTTAGTCACTTTTATCTGAAACTGAATAAAGAATAATCAAATAAAAGAACTAAAAAAGAATGAAAATTGCAATGAATTAGTAATGCAATGTACTGTTGGTGCAATAATCCCTACCTCATGACTCTCAATAATCGATAAAAATCCATTTTGCTTCTTCTTCAATCCATCTGACTTTTCCTGTGAGATTATCAAAATTGTTTCCTACATAGAATGCTACCATGGCAGACATACATGTACATTACAATGACAGGTTATAAGTACGCAGCATGAGTAAGTAGGTTTATAAATAATTTGATTCATTAATGAGAACAAAAAAAACGTGATTATCTTATACATGTATCCAAAGATAATCATATACTAGTACATGTATGTTTACACACCAATTCATACACACTCAGAAAACCCAAGTATTACCATGCTACATGTACTCAATCAATTATACCGAGGAAGCTTGTTACATGAACATGTATAAGGCCAAATAAAAGAAAAAACATGTTAAGCGTCCTGCCTTTTTGAAACATAGGAAGGAGGATGCCCTTTATTTCCCTCTTTTTTTCCCTTCAAAATGGCTGCTCGGTACATTTTCTCTGACAGTCGAGCTATTTTTCAAGATGGCCGCCGGCATTTTTTTAATTAAAAAAAAAATCGGAAATAGATCTATTTTAGCAGTGTGTGTTTTTTCTTTAAAATGGAAGTGGATATGGATGCTAAACATGATGACAAGGTAATTGATATTACCGGTACACAAATAATTTAATGAATATGCACTGTACACAGGTTAAGTCACAATTCAGGATAATGAACAAGACTTGTCAAGTTCATTTTCGTCTCATTCAGACTTCTCAAAGTGCAAAACGCATCACCGATGAATGCACATGCTCAGTGTCCGCATCATCAATGTCCTTGCCATATGAAATTACATCGTGTCTGAACTTTGAAAACACCAAGATGTGTGAATCAAGAATGCTGCGTGGAGCTTGTCCAATGGTGCATAAAAATTGCATACCTGGCATAATAGAAAACCTTCTAGGCATTTAAAAACGTGACTTGAATACAGGTTTGCCATTGGCTATATTTTTTAACCCGTCTTATAAAACAAAATAATTTTGAAGGTCCAATCTCATTATATTCTCTATGAAAACCCTGATATCACAAGATTTTGCCAAGGTAATTGTAATGGTCCCAATCTCCTTGTGATAAAAGAGTTTCAATGAGCATTTCTTCTCATAGCTTGGTACAGACTCCACAAAGATAAGGTCAATTGTTTTGCTTGCTGAAAAAAAAAGAAGCAATTTTCAGGTTTCCTATGATCGAAAACACATTATTCACCTTTAACTGATTAGTGATTTTTAGTTTTTTACAGATTTGATTGTTTTCTTTCACAGCTAAAATGCTCTGTGCACTATTGACTTTTCACAATGCGTTTTTTAGCTTCATTTCATGACGCCTGCACTTTCACAGAAGAAGAATGTTTCATTGTTTGGCACAAGGTCATACCAATTACTAAGAAATTGCTGATTTTTACAGCCTTACGATTCATGCCTTTGATAGCATATTGTGATCAGCATTGATGATTGATGTCAGCCATACATGATCAGTTCTTATAAAAACTTGACAAAGCTTTGCCATACTTATATGCGCTATAATCTTTGCATCAACCGCATGATGATCAGCTATTACCAAGTGTAGGTTAACGAGTGCAGGTCAGAAAGAATTGTTAGATATTTTATCTTTTTCATTATGCACGATAAGCATATGTACACTGTACAGTAGACTATTCCAACTAATGTGTAGAGAGTGCAATAGCAGTGCATAAAGACATAAGTTAAACAAAATTTTCTGATTTTTTCCTGATGTCTCCAGATCATAATTTAAAGGGAAAATCCAACCATACAGACTACTAATCTTAAATAAAGCTCAATACTTGAGAGAAGCAGACTGGTGAAAGTTTGAACAAAATCAAACAAACTATAAGAAAGTTATTCATTTTTGAAAATTGTAATCACTATACATATGGGATCTCCAAATTGGCTGTAACGGTCAGATCTCTGAGACATGGTGCATTATTACTTGACCAATTGGTTTAACCATAGACGTAATAGAATGGACTTTTGACGGCAAGAGTAGTAAAAGTAATGATAGCTACCACCTGTTCTTATGTCTTACTTTCTTCTATGTTTTAAGTCTGACCGCAACGCTGCGGGCATGTTTTGATAAGCTCCGATAAGGGTCCTTTGGTCCTATGAGATCCACCGGGATTTTGCCGACCTCTATCGGCCAAGTCGCTTCGCACTGACCAATGCTTCCCACGATTTGCGCTTCTCATTTCATGAATGAATCGTGACAGGAGAGCCTTCTGCACATGCGTAGCTAAATACTACGTCAATAATGCCCCGGATGTAAACATGAGGTTTACGTCCTGTTCATGCTCGCCAATCTGTAAAAAAAGCCGTTGAAATCGGTGATTTCTTCGATTTTTTACGAATTTGTGTTGGTGTGTAGCAAACTCATCATATAAGCAAGGAAAGTCACCACAAGAGTTTACAAAATACAGTTTAAAAAGTGTTTTTTTCTCCTGTTTCCGTTAATTTCTCTGTGAAACCAACGACGTTGTGGTGATCACAAATCCTTCGCTGGTCGAATACAATCATTCGTTATTTGTTGCGTTTGCGTGCGTTTTTTTTTATAGGCATTGGAAGAATGGGGTTGTTTTCGTGAGTGCTCAGAAAATCTGTGGTAATGCGTGACTTCTTCGCATCATGACCACTAAATTGCCGTGCCTTTGTCTAATCCAAATTGCACACGTAGTCCCATTCATAGAGATCGGCGGGTGCATGTTTTTTTCAAGTTATATTTTGGACTTGTTAATCCGAGAGTGACTGCTTTTTTTTTTTCTTCCCTCAGATTTTATCTTATTTTATCTTGATGTAGGCCTACTATAAATTATGTGTACGTTTTTTTTTGAGAATCTAGGAATTAGGATAAATATCTGTGTCCGTAAATTTGGGAATTGACCATTGCAAAATATTCAACATTTCCGTCGTCTGCTATGTCGATATATGGACTGCCCATCATAATCATAAAGTTCTTCCTTATTTATGTCATCTAATGATAATCCTGCCCTTCTAATTACTTTATAAACAACACATGACTCATGAGTACGAGAAAAATATGTATTATGGAACAATACACACATCGAAATAAATAATAATTGTTAGTATAAATACAACGCTGAAAACAATAACAATAATATCGTCAGGCACAAAGACGAAAACATGTTCGCTACGACCGCATGGCGGAGAGCGCTCATACTATTTAACACTAGGTTCTCAACGATTTGAAGGAGCAGCGAACAACCCCAAATCGCGAGCTTGCTGTTGCGATTATGAAAGATTGCGCAAGTGATCGCATCCAGCTGTCGGGTTGCGGTGGGACCACCGCTGGGTTTTTGCATCGGCGCAAAATTTAAACCTTGCCGGTGGAACTCATAGGATCAAAGAAACTGCTTCGTCGATAGTCCATTCTATTACGTCTATGGTTTAACACACAAAATCTAAAAATCTGGAATCTTTTTCCTTTTAGATAACCTTTAACAATATACTATTCATATTATATTCTGAATAGTGCCCTGAGGGGGAAAGCACTTAAGAGAAAAACAGAAATTAATCAAATTTTTGTACACAACAATTGTTTGTGACGTGACAGTCCACTGATCCAATAGCTAATTTAAGATTCACATAGATTTAGTGATCTCATATTTCAAACATTGATTACAATACCGCCCAGAAGTTATTGGGCATGCGGGATCGTGTTTCACGATAGGAGGTTAGCGTGATTGTAGACGGGTTTTATCGTGTTTTTATCGTGAGAAACATCGTGATTTGTATTCATCTCTATCATGATTTTTTTCCTCAACTTGATCAACTCGCTAAATCCCCGATGCATATCGTGATATTTCCTTTTAGTTTGTTATTATCACGATAGAACTGCGCACAGCATGCTGTATTTATACGCTTGCTGAGCCTGCGCATCCTCAAACATACCGATGCGCGCTTGCCACTGACGTCACAATCACTTGATTATTACACCACAAAAGCGTGAATGAATGCTCTTTTCATTCCATGCATAAATACACGAGACAATGTGCTACGGGGAATGTTTGGGATTGCGCATGCG